CTCACCGCCTGTTTAAACAACAAAGAACTTATTAAGCTATATTTAGCCTACTAAGGCTGATCTTCCTAGACTCCCTACACAGTTGGGACAGAGAGAAAATCTTTTTACGCTGGGCATAAGCTGTGATTCTAAGCTATATTTAGCCTACTTGTCTTTTCCACAACATTATAAAAGCTAAGCTGTCCAAATTGGTGGAGGTAGGTTCTGTATTTAAAAAGCATTCTGACACATTAGGAGAATGTGTTCTGTAAAGCATCATGACTTTTGTGTTTTCATAGGTAATTCAATGACAGCAAAAACCCACCAAGACTATTCTGAGAGTGTCACTAAGTGAACAGCAAAGGGTCATGTGTATGAAAAAGCAACTCATTTCTACTTTGACTGAAAGGAGGCAAAACCCCACCCATTTCTGATTCATATAAAGTCATTATATTAACCTGATTTGCAAACCAAAATAAAAAAGAACTTCACCAACTATAAGTTAACGTGGCAACTGTGTACTGACAAAGCAAATACATTGATTTGGTGCAAAAATGATGTAGAGTGGATGCCAGACAGTCACCTAATGCAAGTGGAAAGCAGTTGCCTGTTAGAGAAGAGTTTTAAGCACAAAGCCAGCCCCAGTCAGAAAAAGGAACTGAATCATGCAGCTATTTTTCCAGTAATGCCAACTTTAGGTGTAAAGTGTTTGATACACAAGAAAAATGACTCATCCTGTTCAGGGCAAATCACTTTCTCTGCGGATCACACTCTGCTCAGCAGCAGCATGGGGAAGGCTGCAAAGGCACAGTGGCAGTCTGGCTACCCAACGACAGCACCACCGTTTGGCTGCTGAGACTGAAGCAGGGAGAGAAACAGAGTAAGAAATAAAAATAAATTTTAAAAACCCAAAAATAAACGTGTGAGAGTAACCATGAAGAAATACTGGAATAGGTAACTGCAGAGAAAAAAAGAGACATGAAAGAAAGGAAGGGAGAGGGGAGAAGAAAAGAGAAATGAAGTAAAAAAAGACTAAGGAGAAGGAAGAATGGTGGAAAAGAAACAGACAGATTAACAGTAGGAAAGGTATCTTGTGACTCTTCAGCTGTTTTATTAGTGAGTCATTAATCCAATGAGAATTTATCTTCCTGCTTGATCATTCTTAAAATTTCTTTCTGGTAGTGGTGATCTGCCTATGCTTGTCCTTCACCTGCTCTCCTAATTCTGAAGGACACACGGGACATCTGTTTCATGGATGCCAAGCCTCAAGTCTTACCTGCCAGTAGCAGCAGTTACCAAAGATGGGACTTGAAGGTCAGTTCTGCTCCTGACTACGTGGTTTCAATGCTACCTACACTCATCACTTGAGTGTTGCTACCAGAGCACCTTCCAGTAGTAGGGTCAACAAATGTGACTGATTACCTGCCACATGTTGTCCTTTCCTTCTCTCTCTGCAGGGAGAAAAAGAAAAAGGCAGGAACCTGAGGTGCTCACCTCTGCAGGACATACTAGCAGCCAGCACATGTGAAATACAGCACCATGGAACTCAGCTGAGCTGAGCTACCTAGAAGGGTACCACTGATGCCTGTGACACTTAAAGTCACATCAAACTGATTAAATACTCCTCAGTCTTCATCTTCCAAGCAGAAGGAAATGCAAGAAGGGAACAACAGCACAAATGCTGAGAAGTAAATGAAGTTTTCTTTATACTTCTATTACTCTGAGATTAGAGTCTTGCTTTCAGGCATTGGCCATTGATGCACACAAACTGCTGGCTTGTGCATGTTCAAAGAATAGAGAAAGAAGGAAAAGTAGCTGTGAGTATATGAGTGGCCATGGATGTTCCTTGCCATGACCCTCCTTCATAGAGGTTTACTACATTCTCAGCCTGAGCCTCTGAAAACTGAGACAATGTTTAAATGCTGTGCAGGTCCTATGGCAGAAAGGATGGCTTTTTCTCATAAACAAATCCACAGCCCACATACTGCTGCTTCTAAGAAAAATATATGGATTAAAAACTGTGAGTGAAATAAACTTAACAGGACGGTGCCCCTTCAAAAAGGAGCAAACATTTGTCATTTTCTTTATGTTACAGCAGGAGCTATATGACAACTGGGAGGACAGCTGTCCTATTCGTTTGTGTTCACCAGGAGCTGTCCCTCACTCTGCCATCAGACCCTGCTGCATACAGGTGTCAGGTTTATACAGTGGCTCAGCTGTAAATAAAGCCTGTCCCAGCTGAGCTGTATTACCTACGGAGGGCATGCCCAATGATGCCGTGACTTCTTCATCCATGCTTCTTGCCCGGCTCTGACACAAGTGGGCCCACAGTAGCCAGGAGGGGTAGGAGATGTCAGATGGGCACTGCAGTCTGTGTGTGACTGGCTGTGATAGCTTCAAAGCTTTCTAAATTAAAAAGACTACCTTGGTATGTCACTGCAACTTCCCAGCAACAAACACCAAATCAGAGGAGAAAAATTCCCTCAGACACCAAATGCTGCAGGGGCTCCTTGATTTATGGACACATTCCTTGTATTTTAAAATCTTCATGCTTGGCCACTACTTCATGCTTTCTTGGCTGATGGAGCCAATGCTGAGGTTAGCCAGGGAGAGCTATTTACAGTATGCCAACTACTGAATTATTATCTCTTCTTGTTCTGTAGGTGCCAGAGTACATAAATAGCTCTCCTTGACTGACCTTAAAGAAAAGCTGCCAGGCACAGAAGAGTAAAATGCTATGGCTGCCTTAAACTTCCTTCCTGACTGATGTTTAGTTACAAGGAGGAAACACTGTTCCCAAGTGAGGGAGCCCGAAGAACTCATTGACCATGGTCACTCCCATTTTGAATCTCATTCACTTGGCATTTCACCAGCAGAGTCAAGTGCCGCTCTCCAGCGTGGGCAAGCAGGCAGGCATCCTTCCACGGCTGGATTGAGGATATTTACATGGTAAAAATCCCATGGTTGTGGATCCTAAAGGACTCACAAGACTCAAAATTATTAAGATTATTAAAACTGAAATATTACTTCAGGCTGCAGTCCTGATAACATTTTTTAAGATAGGAAAAATATATCAGCAGCCACTGCATCTGCTCCTTCAATAAAAACGATAGTTCGGTGTAAATGCCTAGTGAATGCCTAGCATGCCCAGTGAATACAACAAGGCAAGTGCCACTCCTGGATAGGGATGCTTTCCTGAATTCAAATAATTTGTTACTGTGCAGACCCAATTCCACAATTCCGTACCTGCCATGGAGCCAGAAAGCACAGAGGCAACTGTGTGCTGGAAGATTTGATTAAATGCATCAAATATGCTTCTAGACAGTCTCTTTTTGCTCATTTGCTTTGTTCAAGGCTACCTCTAAAGACATGTTTGAGTCCCTAATGAACCATGATGATTTCTAGATGAACAAAGTCAGGATTTCGGTCATCACAGGAAAAAGAAAACTAATAAAAATCCTGATTATTCTAGTCCCATCTATTTTGAGTCTCTTTAATATTTCTGATTTTAAACATAGTGAATTTTGTTGTTCCATGCCAGGAGTATTTTGAATAGTTATTAACAGCAGGCATGTAAATGGGGAGTGCAAGGAAGTTTTCTTACCTCACAAAACATAGGCAACTTTTTGGCAAAATCCACCACTCTTGTAATCGCTGGCGTGATAATTTTTGTAAACTGGCTGAAGGCTTCTAAATCCACTTTTCCACCTTCTGGGGCATTAACTATTGGTGCTTGACCAATATCTTCTGGCTACGGATATAAAAAAGGATATTTAAAGGAACAATCTATCTTAGAGCAAGTATTTTATACTCTAAAAAGCACTCTTTTCTTACAGGTGCTGAGAACTCTCAAGTTTCTCTAAATGTGAAGGGAGCTGAGGTAACTTGTAGCCCCTGAGAACATGCTCACAGCTTTGCAGAATTGGGCTCTTTCACCTACTCAAAATTCTGAAATTCTCCCCAGAACAGATTGCTTGGTCTAGAGCTCCAGGCAACTGCCAAGGCCTGTTTCCAAAACTCAGCTAAGGCAACTAATGACTAAGAATGGGCTAACACAAAGCTAGTCTGGATAAAGTGAATAGAATTTGAACTTGTCTGTGTAAAATTTTACCTGAAAATCACCTTCTGCATTACTTCATCCCAAGGCTTTTCCAAAAGAGAAAAAAAATTCCTACTTTCTGGATTTCAATCGGGATATACAATGAAATAGATTCAAACAGAATCTGCAATAAGTGAGTTTTTATTCCAACTGCACTTCAACTTGTTCATCTGGTTTTATGACAGCTCAACAGTGTAACTGTGTATTTGAAAAAGTGGCCTATAAAAGCTGTTCTGTTCGCTAAGTGTGGCTTTGCGGTTGTAAAAGACCTGCCAACTACCATGCAGAGGTTCCATTTTGTTCACATTAGAGAGTCAAAAACTGGATAAAACCCAGAGAAGAAGGTCCTTAAGACTGATGGGCTTAATTACATTTATACAAGGGCACTTAAACAGGGGAGGCGCTGAAAGTGCTGCCTATAATAGAAACTTGTGCTCGGCAGTTTTGTAATGCAACACATCATAAAAGATCCTTCCACAGCTCTGTCACCAATCTGAATCCAAATCTAAATTCTTTCAAGAAAAAACTCAGCAATGTGTTAATAAAGCAAGAACTAATTGTACAGGAACAATGAAAAGGACTGGCCTCAATTATCTGATGGTTCCTACCAAAAATCTCCAATAACCCCAGTTCCAGGATCCCTCCCTCACTGAATCCTGGGAAACGAAACCACATTGCCTGTGTGCTCATGATAAAAAACCTTCATCACTTCCAGGCGAGAAGACTAAATGCCTAAAACCACACATAACATTGTTAGGGAGAGAGAAGTGAGTATTTTCTTGGGAAAGCCAAAAGAAGTCAGGATCACTAGCTAAAGCAATCACACTCCAGAAGGCCACGCAACTGGAGAGCCCTTGCTGCCTAACTCACTTCAATAGGAAAAAAGGTCCAGACCTCAAAGGAGCTCCCGCTGTTGAAGAACCAGCCTCAGCTGCCTAAGGACCAACCCACAGCTCCTGAGGTGTGTGGTTAGCTCTTCTTGCTCTTCAACAGCTTGTGGCAAGGGCTTTCAAAGCCTCTACCTGAGGCTGGCAGGCCATCCTGGACTTTCCTTTCTGTTCTTGCTGCCAAGGTGTCAGTGAGCTCCCTATGCTTGCCTTGAAATCATTGTGTTTCAGCACACATTGGAAAGAACCAGGAGGTCCTGCAGCAAGGGCTGCACTGAGAGCAGTTTGGTCTGGTCTAGGAGCCAGCTGTGGACACAGCTGATTTCTGAACTGCCCATTAGAGCTGCCACCGCTGCCTCTGCCCCATCCTTCTCCAATAGCCCTGTAATCACATCACCTCACACCCTGCCTCTGGGCACCCTTTGCTGGAGGTTCCCGCTCTGCTGTGACTGTCTCCAGACCATGAAGTCCCTCAATGACCACATTTTACGTGGTTCAGGCCCTACCAGCTTTCTGCCCCAACCTCAAGCTTTATCCCAAACCAGGCAGTATCCAAAGAACAGCAACAAAACACACTGTTGCAGCTGCTGCTTCGTCTGCTAAAACTAGCGCTGCAAACCTTGCTGTGCAGCACCACTGGAAAATCATAGAATCATAGCATGGTTTGGGTTGGAAAGGACCTTAAAGATCATCCAGTTCCAACCCCCCTGCCATCAGCAGGGACACCTTCCACTAGACCAGGTTGCTCAAAGCCTCATCCAGCCTGGCCTTGAACACTTCCTCTGCTGCTTCTTGCCAGTGATCACTGGCTGTGGTTTCCCGACTGCACGCTACTATGAACATGCAGCCATTCATATAGAAATTCAGACAGTGCCACTGGAATTAACAAAACATTATAAAAGGGATCAGCTGGTTTGAATATACAATTTCTCCTACCAATTTAACAGTGGGTGGAGATTCCCATAGTGAATTAAGCAGCAGGAGAATAGGCTTGCAAAAAAATGAATGTTCTCTATCTGGTTTGGTATACACAGACTGTTAAAGACCCCTGTGTATTCCTGACATGCAGTCTATAATCTCCCTTTTGTGCTGTATAAGCATTTTCTATTCTCCACTTATTTCCTTTAAAAATCGATTTAGAAAAATCAAATAAATCCTTTTTTAATGCTGAGCATCACAAGTCACCATTCATTTTCTGATCCTTGGTTATAGCCTAAAAACTTCAGTGGTCTTGTAGCCTGCAACCCCAATGCTATACTGTATGTATCATCCTGCTTTCATTGAAATTAATTTTTCTTTGCCAAATTTATTTTAATTAATGTGTTCCCTTTGGAAGAAGAAAGCAAAACCTATGAGTTATTAATAAAAATATCAGCTTTCACCTAAAACTTTACATTGATTTAATACTTACAATATGTTAGTCCCTAATAAAGACAACCATCATTAGATATAATATATAAAAAAAGATATGGAATGCATTATAGACTGCTACTTCAGGAGTGAAATGATTTTTCTACTTTTTCTGATCATAACACATTAAAAGTATCCAGCTGGGTAAGACTTAACTCAGCAACATGCTGTTTATCTTTTGAAATACATGGTCTGATCAAACACTGAGCTTCAGGCAAGAATAAGCAAGTAGTAATTATAAAAATCATCCATTTTTCATATGTGTCAACACACTGGCAGACAGACTGTCTTTGGGGTTGCAGTGTTGGGAAGGGACTTTAGAAGAAAGAAAGGAACCTGGCTCCAAGAGCAGTGTAAAAGCCTACAGTCCTTACCAGAAATTTCCTTTTCTGCTTCCAGTGGCTTCCTTGTGCATTGGTGGCCACATGTGCTTCAGTAACAATTTTGATGAGCTCCCACTCCTCATCCGTTGGCTCTGGTTTGTGCCCAATTGTTTTCTGCAGCTCTTCCCGACGCCTCTTCTCTCTATTTTCTTCTATCAGCTTCCTCTTTGCCAGCCGCTTGCTGTCATCCAGCACCACTAGCAGGGGGAAAAAGCATACAAAAATGGCAGGAAGTTCTTTAAGGTTGACCACACTTCGGTATGAGGTACTAAATGATTACAAACACCATAACTAATCAGTAAAGAAGTACTTTGGTAAGACCCCCAGTTGACACAGTTCTCTTCCTTCTCCCTACAAACTTCATCTTCTCGGAAGCCTGGATTGCAAAGAACGACTTTACCCTTCTGGTAACATGATGAATACCATTGTTGCCTTCAGTGGCTTCCTCCACCAATGCAACTAACACATAAAAGCTTTGTAAGGATGCAGACAAAGCATTCCTCTAACGGACTTGGAGTAGTCCACGTTGGGAAAGATGCACTTTTGTTTTCTTTAAAGTAGTATCAGCACACTCACTGCTCTGAATTATGCAGAAAGTGTTCTTGTAAGCCAGTGGAAGGTAATGTGTATGTAAAAAAGTGGGAGTACCTATTCACAGGAGGCTCAACTCCCTGGTGCATGGCAGGGTCAGAAACAATCTGCCTTCAGCTCTTTCCATAAGCCCTACAAATCATTCTGTAGTGTTTCCCTAGAGCCTCCCTATTTCCAATGATGCCCCAGGTCTGCACATCTCTGACCACCAGAGAAGTTGTTTTCCATACAGATGTGAATAGGCCACTTAAATGGACCGGCCTGCTTTAGTGGAGGAGGGACATTCTGCTCCACAGCTGGAGGGCCATTCTGCTCCACAACTGGTGGCAGGCAGGTAGAAGCACCAAAAGCCCTGCTTACAAGCTTCTGTTCATTAACTTAAATGATTAACTTTTAAGTTAATAATTTAACTCAAAAGGTGGGAGAAAGCCTTCTCGAGTTGGGGGGTAGCTGGCCTGTCTGCTGTGCTCAGTGACAGCTCCTTTGGCACGTAGGTAGGTGCAGCCCCCAAAGGCCACACCAGTTTTATGGGACTGGCACCAGCTGGTGGGAACCAGGCTCAGAGGAACTCCTTACTCTGCACAGCTGCTACCTGGCCGATGCTCACCACTGCCTGCTGCGCCAGATTGGGCTGGGAGCCAACTGGTGACCCAGACTTATCCATCCCCTCTCCTGAAGGCCTTCTTGGCTACAATGAAATTGTGTAATTTTTTTGATTTCCCTCTAGACAGAAGACATTGTTATACATGACATTACCAATGCAAAATACCAAGTTAGAATATTTTTCTGTTGTTTATTTGGCTTGTTTTCCTGTCAGTTTTTCTGCAGAGGATCATGCTGGCAACAACCATTAACATTAACGCACAGGGGGATTTGCATTGAGTCCCTCCCATTTGCTCTAATTGACATTATCGGTGTAAATTCTTGTGCAACAGCTGGAAAATAAAACCCCCAAGGGTTAATCTTATAGTTCTAGTTCTTTAGAATAAGAGTTGAGTTCTTTGCAGCAGATAACTTCTTCAGGACTAAAAATAAAACAAACAACTGCAGGATGACTCATACAACGACATTCAATTTCACATCCTCCAGAATCTTCTAAACAAGATGTTTTTTTCTCAAGCAAAGTGTCCATCCAGATGCATTTCTCCCTCTCCTCCAGAGAGTGAACATT